CATGTTGACCTCGCCAGTCATGTTGGGACGGGGGGCCATGAGCAGGAAGTCCACGCGGTAGGTTGTGGTGCTGTCAGAGCGCGTGGTGGTAGAGCGTCTTTTGGCAGCCGGTGTGACGCTCAGGATCTCTGTGTTGTCGACGCCGAAGATCGTTCCTAGCTGTTGGAAATGTTGGCTGTGATTTTGAGAATTGATTGTACGTTGTGTTGTTAATTCTGACGTTTGTTTAAAAAAGGCAATAGATTGGTATATTTCTTCTTTATATTAAATTATTAATGCCGTTATTGTTACATGTCTTTTTCACTGGGAATCATCTGAAACGTGAGATTTTATCGATAGACTAAAGTGCCCTTTTTATTTTAAATATGATTGATTGAGGGAAATATTATTTCGATCTTGAAAAACAAAGAAATAAAAATCGCAAATCTAACTCAAACTTAAACTAACTAAATAAACACACGACTAAACAAATGAATGACTTACAACGGACACAGAGCCTTCGTAAACTCCCCAAAGCCATCCCAACAATCGAAACAACGCTACCAAAACACACAACAAATAATACAAATAAGAAAACCAATCCACACAATAAAACAATAATAAAACACAACCCATCATTCTCCAAGTCCCCCCCCTCCCCCCCACCCACTTCCTCATCTTCCGCATGAGAGACGAATCTACACCCTTCCCTCAGCTTCACTATGACTCACACACACACACACACACACACACACACACACACACACACGACCTGTGACGTGGGTGTGCACAGGTGTCAAGACCCTTAATAAGAGGTAGACCATTAGTCATTTCCCTTCCGTGTCTGCAGGTCGATGGGCAGTCTATACAGAGCTGTCTCATTTGAGTTTATTTGTTTTTTGATGGGTTATGGTGATGATGATGACGATGATAATGATGGTGGCGATGATAATGATGGTAGTGATGACAATATGATAATGGTGATGATAATCATAATGACGGTAAAGTAATTGTAATGATGACGATGATATTGATAATAATGTTAATGATAATACTCAAATGATAATAATGATAATTATTATTAATAATAAAAAATATAATGATCATAATGATTATGATGATAATGATATAACAATAATAACTATTATCATCATCATCACCATCATTATATTTTTTTCTTATTCTTATTTTCAAACTATTATCATTACTATTACTATTATTATCATTATCATTATTATTACTATTATTATTATTGTTAGTATTATTAGTAAGATAATTATTATCAGTATCATTTTCATTGTTATTGTCATTATCATTATCACTATTATCATCATTAGTATCACTATTATTACTGTCAACACTATTTATTGACTGTTATTATAATTGTAATAATCATTATTACTATTACTATTATTATTATTATTTTTTTTTATTATTGTTATTATTATTATCATTATTATTATTGTTATTATTATCATTATTATTATCATTATTATTATTATTATCATTATTATCATTATTATTATCATTATTATTACTATTATTATTATTATTATTATCATTATTATTATCATTATTATTATTGTTGTTGTTGTTGTTGTTGTTGTTATTATTATTATTATCATTATTATTATTATTATTATCATTATTATTATTATTACTATCATTATTATTATCGTTATCATTATCATGATCATTATCATTATCCTTATCATTATCATTATCATTACTATTATTATAATTAGTATTAATATCATTATCATTAGATTTATTACTATTATCATAATTATTTCGATCATTATAACAGTAATGATAAAATAAAACTGATCATAAAGATAATGATTATAAATAATAATAACAATTATCATCATAATTATTATCATTATAATTATTATTAATATCATTATCATTAAATTTATTACTATTATCCAATTATTTTCATTATAATAGCAATGATACTGAAAACAAAGAAAACGATCATAAAGGTAATGATTATAAATAACAATAATTAACAATTATCATGATAATATAAATAGCAATTATGCTAATAACATGAATAATGATAATAATGAAAATAATAACATCAATATTGATAATGATAATAATAATAATAATGATACTACTACTACTACTACTACTACTACTACTACTAATAATAATAATGACAATAATAATAATAATAATAATAATAATAATAATAATGATAAAAATAATAACAATAATAATAATTATAATTATACATTGTGATAACAATAAATGAATAGTAAATAGAAAACAAACTGAATAATAATAACAATAATAATAACTATAATGATAATAATAATAATAATAATAATAATAATAATAATAACGAAAATAATGATAATAAGGATAACAATAATAACAATAATAATGATAAAAATGATATCGATATCAAAAACAACAAAAACAACGGCAGCTGTTGTTGATGATGATGATGATAATTATCATTATTATCTATAATAATTACTATTATTGTTACTATTATTGTTTTTATTACTAT